TCCTATCCTTGGATGTGGTTAGTGTTGTTTTTCTCTTGACTTGAACAGTGCTTCCATCCAATTATTGTGTTTGTCTTCTTAAAGACCCGCGAATAGCTCTGCCTCCTCCCCCACGTCTTCCTCAAAGTTAGATGGAGCCATTAAAGTTGGTTAAATGAACAAAAACTCTAAATAAAAAAATGAAAACAAACAAGCAGAGGGGTTTACTCAAGGTGCGCTCGTTCTTCTGTTATCCAATTTTACTGGGATTTGGAGTGATTTGTGCCCAGCTCCCCGAGGGAAATAAATACTTTGATTAATGTAATCCTAGGCAGGGAGGTACCACAACAGCCCCCCTCTTTTTCCTCAGGGAGTGCTACTGTTCAACAAACAAAAACAACTAAATATAAAATAAAGAGAAAGAGGGACTTGCACGGTGAACCAGCAGCAACTGGACGGCTCGATTTCCAGCAGATTTGGAGTATTTATTAATTACTCTGCCTAATACACAATATCACTCTGGATTAGCATGTGTATTACATACTAATAGGACATAAAAACGCAGCCGCGTGTCCTTTCATTTACATAAACAATAAAAGTAAGGCTTGTTTTGTTGCTACTGGGTTTTATTTACTGGGGATGGCCCACTATTCTGTTTCCTTTCAAGCTATCGCGTGTTTTGATTTTTACGCTTTAAGTCAATTTCTTTGTTGTTAAAAAAAGCCCGGTTGGATTGAAATCGGGGCTTGTCCGAGATCTAAGACTCGTTCCAACCTGGCTTCTGTATTAAGTTTGTTTTAGTAGTAATTGTAATACAAAGAATGTTAGAGTTTTCTTAAATGTTAGCATGTCTGGGGGGATTTGCATGAAAGATAAAATCGAGGTTTGTTTTCATGCCACCACTGGAGAAGGTGCAGGATTGTGTCTGTGATGGGTTTTGCATCAGAAAAGCTACCTCCCCCTCCTCCCTCTGTGCCCTCTTCTCCTCCTCCTCACCCAAACACACCTTCCTCCTCTCCCATTCCTCTGACTCAGAATGATGCACTTCAGTCCATCATTTCCGATCTGTCACCAATCACTCACTTCCTGAGCAGCCGGTGTGGTTTTTTTTTCTTCTTGTGCTTTTTGTACGCATGTGACCATGTGTGTGTGTGTGTGTGTGTGTGTGTGTGTGTGTGTGTGTGTGTGTGTGTGTGTGTGTGTGTGTGTGTGTGTGTGTGTGTGTGTGTGTGTGTGTGTGTGTGTGTGTGTGTGTGTGTGTGTGTGTGTGTGTGTGTGTTGTGGTTGATGTGGTGATACCAAGTGATGCAACATCAGGGAAAAGGATCATGAGAAACTAAAGAAGTATCAGGGCCTCAAAGAAGAACACGAAAAAGATAGATAAAGAGAGGGAGAGAAGAGGGGGAGAGAGAGAGAAAGAGAGAGAGAGAGAGAGAGAGAGAGAGAGAGAGAGAGAGAGAGAGAGAGATGGTTAACAGAGTAGAAGTCCTAATTTGTGCTAAGCTAGGTAACAAACTGGGGCTTGTCCAGGATCAGAACCTGAGAAAATGTAAGTGTGGGACACAACGCAGACAGAAGTGCTGCGGAAGCGACATGGTTTTGAAAAGTCAAGTGGTCACACAGGACATGCCGCGCCGCTGAGCGCTTCTTGGAAAGTCGTGTGATAGTAACGACATCACGCGGGACTTGAGAAAAGAAAGAGGAAAGTTACTGTTTTGTTTTTACGTGATCTGACTTGCTGCCATGTTTTGAGAGACTCTAATTCTTAAAAAAAATTGGTAAGTACGGTATTGGTTAGAATATTTTAAGATCAATGATACTTTAAAGGTGTCAATACTGCGTTTGGGTTTGTGCCGTAAAGCTGTTCCACGTTGTAATGTCTGTTGTAAAGTACTCCCCAATGTTGTAAATAGCAGCGGCACCATGGCGCTTAAAATAGAACTGGCGCATATCTTCAGCACTCGGCGCTTCTGGGATGCAGTGCTGGGCTCCCCGTGTACCCACTCTCACTAACTATAATGGCTTCTATGTAAAATGACGGCGTTGCACGAGTGCAGTGCAGTGCGAATGTGGTGTGGCGTGGCGTGGCCTGGCGTGGCGTGGCCTGGCGTGGCGTGGCCTGGCGTGGGGCAAAACACGTCTGTCTCCAGTGTGCCCCAGGCTAAAGTTTTAAACTTTGGTAACACTTTACAATGAAGGTCCCTTTATTAACATTACTTAGTAAACTAATAAGCATTAACAAACTATTAAATGAAGTATTAACTGCTTAACTGTATGATGTAACGCATTACTATGCAGACACCCCCAGCCCTCTCTCTTAAGGACACTTATTAGTTAACAATATTGGGAATGTTTGTTTATTAATGCTTAATAATGCACAATGTGATGTTAATAAAGGGACCTGCATTGTGAAGTCTTACCAGAGCATTTTATTAGACTAGACCAAAATGAACTCGTAGAGTGAGAGTGAGTCTGGTGTAATAGATGATTGTGTGTGTGTGTGTGTGTGTGTGTGTGTGTGTGTGTGTGTGTGTGTGTGTGTGTGTGTGTGTGTGTGTGTGTGTGTGTGTGTGTGTGTGTGTGTGTGTGTGTGTGTGTGTGTGTGTGTGTGTGTGTGTGTGTGTGTGTACACCCTTCTCCATTACATCATCTTAATCCTCAATCCTCTGTGCAACATTTGGCCTTAATGTTTGTTAATTTTAATCATAAATTTTATTATAAAGCTAATATCATTTTTTACAATTGCTTTCACGTATAATTAAATTGTCACTAATTCAACTCTGAAATGTTTTTTATTGTCACGTCCACGTTAAACTCCTTCTACACCAGTTAATGACATTCCACTGGAGTTTTCCCAATGCAAGATCAATACAGGCCACAGAAAACTAAAGTCCTAACATGATGTGTGTGAGAAGAACGTTTTGTCTCTGCGAAGAAGAAAAATACCTTTCCATGTCAGAAACTGACAGCATATAGCTCCATTTAATTACATTATCATTTAAGTGCTTCAAGTCCAGCTTTAAATCAGCGTTTGGCCCAAAGAACGCTACCTGTGTGTCGGATTAGCAGCTGGACCAAATAAATTATGTTGCCCTCAGGCAACTTTAAGTGTGCCATAATTAAAAAGCAGGAGAAATTGCATCCATTTAATCTGAGTTTGTGGCAGCTACAGGCTCACGCCTCCTGGTTATGCCTTCAATTTATGTCGGAGGTAGAAAATCTGCCTTTATTTTTCTTTTTCTTTTTTTTTTTTTTTTTTTTGAGGGAAAGGACAATAGATTCATTGATTTTTTTTTTCCTTTAAGTGTTTTTGTCTGGTGATCACTGGCGAATGTTTTAAATCAAATCCCCATTTGGCATCAGAAAATCTGCCCCTTTAATGAGTCGTTTTCTGCATTACATGTGATACATTCTGCAGCTGATGAATTGCCACTGCTGCTGCATGATGACAGGGCTGCTCTGCTGCTGCTGCTAGTGATGATGATGATGATGATGATGATGATGAAGAGCAGCGACCCTGAATGGCATGGGATGCTAGTCATTTTTAAAGTCGTATGTCTCCACAAAAAAACTGCTGCAGATGGAGGCCTGGATCACCATGCTGCAAAAAAGGATCAATATAGCAGAATGTTTAAAAAATAATCAATTTAATTATTCTCATAACGTGTTTTTCTTTAAATATTTACCCCCAAACTAGTTACAAAACAAAACAAAAATGTTTTTTGTTTGTTTTTTCAGAATATTTCACGAATGAGTAAGGCAGGAGCTCATTTGATGCCTGGGCCTTTTTAAGCCAATAAATCAGCTCATAAATAGAAGAAGTCAGGAGGTGTAAAGGTGGCGCGAGGTTCCTGCAGCGTGATTGAGCGCGACACCTGGCGGCGCATGCGCTTCTTTTTATTTAAATGAGCTGCGTGTGCAGGAAAAATGGCATGTGTGCGCGCGCGCGAGCGTGTGTGGAGCGGGGAGGTTAACCCTTTATGGTCCACACCAAGAATAACACTATAAAATACATTTAATTATGATTTATTTTAATTCAGAGCGTTGTAATAATTTAAAAAATAATGTAATGATGTCAGGAATAATATTTTAAGCTTTCTTTTATTAATATTATTATTTCATTAACTTTGCCTAATTCTGAACTCAAAACGATTAAAACTGTTCATTTGTCTTGTTTTGGCACCAATAATAATAACAACAACAAGCGTGTTTTGGTCCGTTCCGGTTCTGAAGCCTCTGGCCCGGGACACCGACCTCTTTTCATCTCGACTCCAGTGCACAAACATACAGCTTAATGCGGCCAGTGTTCCCTGCTTCTGTCGGGCTCACCATGGCTACCGGCTCGCGGGGCTCAGAAATGCGCTCCTCCTCCTCCTCCCTCATCTATGAAGGAGTTTGAGCCGTGAGAAAGGGGGAAAGGGACAGAAAACTGAACTCGAGTCTTAACTTGTCACGAGCTTCTGGAGAGACCGTCTCCGGAAAATGTCTCCAAAGCGCACAGATCAGGAAAAACGCATAAATACATCCAAAACGATGAGGTTTGAAGCTTAAACTGTATATAAACTTTACAAAATCATGAACAATTAGAAGTTCTTCATCTGTCTGGAGGATTATACTCCCCCTTTTCTCTTCCTCTCTTCCTCCCTTGTCTCTCTTTCTTTTCCTGCTTAAAATGTGATTGATTGCACCTTTCGTCGGTGGACATCCACCACAAAACCGCGCAGCTTAACCATCCATCTGCTCGCCCTTTATTCAGAAAAGCGGCTGAAACGCACTAAACGAGAAGAGACGAAAATGCGCAAAACGCGACGCGCAGATTGGTTTGAAATAGGCTTGGTCGGGTGGGAAATTCCGCTTAAATGGTCCAAATGAAAGCAAATCTGAGCAGAAGTTGGTTTGGGTCGATTGTTTGTTTGGTTTTTAACGCAAAACAGCCGATTTGTCGCTAGACAAGAAGGGCGATGAATTGCGTAAAATGAAAAGGATGAGATAAAAGGAAAAGCGCGTTTGTTTTAACTTACCTCGAGTCCAAGAAAAGGAGGAAATATCTGGACTTCGTGTCCTCTGACCGGTTATCTCCCGTTTTTCCTACACGACTCGGTGCTCCCTAAGATTTTCTTTCCTCTGCCTCAACTGAGCAGGAGCACTCCTCAGCTCCCGCTATTATTTTCACTAAAATATATGAAAATTTATGCAAATGAAAATCGGCACTAACTGTTCGTCTCTTGTTATACTTGGGGATGATTTTTTCCCCTCTCTCCCCCCTTCTTTTCTTTCTTTCCCCCTTTCTTTGAAAATAAATGAACTCCCCCAGCAGGAAAGTTGGAGAACGTTTTTTTAATAATAATAAGCAAATAAATAATAAATAAACACATCATATATCAGAGAGGGGTGTTTGCATTTGGATTCAGGGAGCGTTCCTGGGATGGTTTTTCACTTCTCTTTCATGTATGTTAAAGGGGTTTCCCCCTGTTTCTCAGGGTTTGGATTATGGAGGAAAGGCGCGCGTGAGATGCCCTAACTGAGCGCGCGCTGTGGATTGGAACGGCCACAATTCTGACGGGAATCCTCACTGTGTAAATGAATAGATGGGCCCCATAGTTTTGGCCCCCAGCCTATATTCAGTGTAAACAAATCCACGAGGTTCCCTTTGGTTTTGAGCCTGGTCCAAGTGAAATCTCCTGCGTGGGTAAGAAGGAGGTGGAGGGGGAGGAGGAAGATGGAGAGGAGGGGGGGGGGGGGGTTCTGGCTCATAAATTTACCCTTAAATCCCATTTGTAAGAAAGTCACTGCGTCATCTTGTCTGGTTATTTGGGAGTTCATGATGTTTAAGCTCAAACCATGTAATCCAGATGGATATAGTCCCCAGACAGGCGCTGATTGTAAGATGAAATCACCTTTATTTCTGCATCATTTAGCTCTTTCTTTTAAAAAATGTAGTTTTAGTTGCTTTGGGTTTAAAGCGAAGCCTCGCAAATGTTTAAACAGTGATACAAATTACAAATATGTACAAGAATCAAACCTAAATATTATCATTTAATTATAAATGTGGTGGTTTTAAAGTTGCTTACACAAATAAAATGCAGGTATAGATCCAGGTAACGCTTTACAACAAGAAAAGAGTCCATTTATTAACGTTATTTGGTGCATTATTAGGCATTAATAAACTGTTAAATAATGTATTAACAACTGCTTAATCATTTTATGTAATGCATTACTAAGCCGAAAAACCCTGCCCCCACTGTCTCTGTCCATATCCTTGAAAACATAGAATAATCACAGACATTAACATAACAGTCATAAAAGGACCTTTTGTTTATTAATGCTTAATAATGCACTAAGTAACACAATAAAGGGACCCATTGTTTATTAATGTCTAAAAATCCACTAAGTTGCATTAATAAAGAGACCCCTTGTTTATTATTGCTTAATAATGCACTAAGTAACATAATAAAGGGACCCATTGTTTATTATTGCTTAATAATGCACTAAGTGGCATTAATAAAGGGACCCATTGTTTATTATTGCTTAATAATGCACTAAGTGGCATTAATAAAGGGACCCATTGTTTATTATTGCTTAATAATGCACTAAGTGGCATTAATAAAGGGGCCCATTGTTTATTAATGTCTAATAATCCACTAAATTACATTAATAAAGAGACCCCTTGTTTATTATTGCTTAATAATGCACTAAGTGGCATTAATAAAGGGACCCATTTTGTGAAGTGTTAATGAGATCCTCTGTATGACATCACAGGGACTCTTTGGGCTTTCTAACATGAATCATTAGATACATGGAATGGCAAAGTCACTAAACTTCACAATCAAATGGACTCTGAGACCTCAGGACCTCTTCATGGTTCTCCCAGTTGAGCCAGTTACTTTTGTTTTCCAGCACAATAAATGTAGTGTTCAGTAAATTGTTTAAAACAATCACATAATAATAATTTACGTTCCAATATTTAGATTCTGCCTAACCTAAATGTTTAAATCTAAATCTAAATGTTGAGGTTGTGAAATTATTTTCTTACTTGCAAACATGAAACCAAAACCCTGAAATTAACGCAGGGTTAAAAATTGTGATAAAAGGTCTTGGAGTCCCTTTGGTTGGTATCCGTTTCACAAACTTCCATCAAATTTATCAAGGACGATCCCACACTTAATATCCCAGACTGAGCCATGAGGATCTCTTTATTTTCATAGCTTTTGCAGCAGTCTGAGTGCTTAAGCTGCCTCAGTAAACTAAACCAAAATATTCAACTGCATTCATTTAGACTTTTAGATCCAAAGATACAAAACAAATGTTCAAATTTAACCCTCTGATGCATGAATTATGAGATCTTCAACCATGATTTTTTAAACAATTTTTTTCATTCATCTTTAGGTGTGAATGAAACAAATTTCAACAAATATTTTTTGTAACATTTTGTTAATTTACAAATACTTTATTACAGGTCCACCTCAGGGGACAGTGTGCATTCTGAACAAGAAATATGTTGGCTTGCCTTACAGAAGTCCAAATGGAGGGGCTCACATGCAATAAAGTCTTCAACAGCTGTGCTTAATAGCAAAAATAAATAAATAACAATTTTGAGTATCTGTCCACTGTAGTGACCATTATGCATCAAAGGGTTAAAGACAAAATGTGGTTTTAAACTAAATATTTGTCTAACCTGCATTTTCAGATCACCATAAGCTTAATAAATGAAAGCAGGGTGAAGAGAGCATAATATCTCATTTGGAGCGTGCACGGGAAGCTGTTGAAGTATAATCCAGGACGACCCATCTTTAAATGGATTATAATCCAACACACCTTATGTTGGGAGTCCACGTGCTCTGCTTTTTTACAGTTTACTTTAGATATTTAGATTTCAGTCTAAATATGGTTTTATACATTTTAATATTAAACTACTTCCCAATCGGCGCCCCATATACTTTTGGAGCTCTATATCTGTAATGATGCGCTCTAACAAAGGCCTCATTCATTTCTGGGGTTGTGCGGTGGTCATCTTGAGGGATGAGGCTACATCTTTGGATATGTTTTCTCTTCTTTTTCTCCGCTTAAACAGACATTGCCAAAACAGCCAAACCCCCACCCCTCCTCCTCCTCTAGCACCCCTTCTTCCTCCCCCCTCGGGGGAGCGCTCAATTTGCCCTTGTTTTGGTTGCCACTTTCTTTCTCTGTCACCGCGCCTCCACACAGGTTGCTTCGTCTCCGCGTGGAAGCGCTCCCGCAACCCTTTGCGCATTAACTCCCGATGAGCCCAGTCTTCATTTCTGTTTTTATTTTATTATTTATTTATTTTTATTTATACAAAGACACTATGCCCGTTAAGTGGCTTTATTGTGGCGCAAAATCAGATCCCTGATTATGACCGGGATCTTGAATCTGTGCGCTCTTGGATTTATCAACAATGGAGCTGAGCTGGAAACTTTTTGTTGCGTCTCCATTCCTGTTTGTGTACTACCACCTCAGTTCTATTTACTACCAAGTTGTACTCCCCGTTTGTTTTGACCTGCAATTAGAAATCAGCCAATCGGAACAGCCGGAAGGAGGGTTCGTTCGCCCGTGAGCCAAGCTGGCAAGACCTGCCAATCACGCCCCAGGTAACCAATCAATGCGCACGCACGGGGTAAACACCGCGTCCCGGGGCTGCGAGGAGGAAGGAGGGGGGGAGGAGGGAGAGGGGGGTGGAGCCACGCGGCCTGTCAGGCGGAGGGGGGGAGAGAGAGATATAGAAAGAGAGAAGTGGAGAGAGAAAGGAGAGGCAGCGAATGGGAGAGAAGAGTCGCAGGCGGCGGCGCGCACTGTTCCACCGGATTGTACTTGAACGGGGGTTTGCGGTTTGGCAGGTTTATACACATCAAAACAGAACAAAGAGAACAGGCGCTACGGCGCTAGAAAAGAAGAGAGGAGAGAAAAGAATAAAAGCGGAGGGAAGAAATCTCTGAATTACAAAAGAGCTGACTGAGGACACTCTCTGCTCATGTTTTTCCCACATGCAAAGGAGACGTTTTCTGGGACTTGGAAGAATTCAGGAAAGTTTTTGTTTTTTTCTGACCACCGAAAGTTTGTTTGGGACGCTGCTTTCTCTCCCTTGAATTTCAATCAAAACTTTCGGACTGCGCATGGTTTCAAAGGGCTTCTGATGAACTGGAATTAATTTCAGCGACGTGCAGGCAGACGAGTCTGAGCTAGAATGGTGTAAATACGGATTTTGCTCCGCTTCCTGACGCTGGTTGTGAATCTCCTCTTTTTTCATTTATTTGTTTTAGTTTTTTTCCTGCGTGTGCCGATGTTTTTATTTTATTTTATTGTTTTGCCAAAAAGCTGCAAATACTTTTAAAGTTTGAATAATTCATGAGATACAATTTGCTTGCACGAAAGACTGTTTGAAAAAGCAAAGAGAGAGAAAGGGAGGGGGGGTCAGACACAAACATATTCATAAGGGTTGACGGAATGGCCACCGCCGCTTCCAATCCTTATCTACCCAGCAATAGCATCTTATCGTCCGGATCCATCGTGCACTCTGACTCCGGAGGTGGTGGCATGCAGCCGGGCAGCGCTGCGGTTACCTCCGGGTCTGGGGGGTACAGGGGAGACCCCTCGGTCAAGATGGTGCAGAGTGACTTTATGCAAGGCGCGATGGCAGCCAGCAACGGGGGGCACATGCTGAGCCATGCCCACCAGTGGGTCACGTCCCTCCCGCACGCGGCGGCGGCCGCAGCAGCAGCCGCGGTGGCCGCAGCTGAAGCTGGCTCCCCCTGGTCGTCCAGCCCCGTCGGGATGACGGGCAGCCCGCAGCAGCAGGACGTCAAAAGCTCCGCCAGAGACGATCTGCACACGGGCACCGCGCTGCACCACAGGCCGCCTCACCTAGCACCCCATCACACGCACGCCGGGGCTTGGGGGAGCACGACTGCGCACATTAACTCCATATCCGGGGGGCAGCAGCAGCAGCAGCAGTCACTCCTTTACTCGCAGCCGGGAGGCTTCACTGTGAACGGCATGCTGAGTCCCGGCAGCCAGAGCCTGGTGCACCCCGGGCTGGTGAGAGGCGACACACCGGACCTGGACCACGGCAGCCACCACCACCACCATCACCACCAGCACCCGCATCACCAGCACCACGGCGGCGTCAACAGCCACGACCCGCACTCGGACGACGACACGCCGACGTCGGACGACCTGGAGCAGTTCGCCAAGCAGTTCAAGCAGCGGCGGATCAAGCTGGGCTTCACGCAGGCGGACGTGGGCTTGGCTCTGGGCACCCTGTACGGGAACGTGTTCTCCCAGACCACCATCTGCAGGTTCGAGGCTCTGCAGCTCAGCTTTAAGAACATGTGCAAGCTGAAGCCTTTGTTGAACAAGTGGCTGGAGGAGGCCGACTCGTCCACGGGGAGCCCCACCAGCATCGACAAGATCGCGGCGCAGGGCAGGAAGCGAAAGAAGCGCACATCCATCGAGGTGAGCGTCAAGGGGGCTTTGGAGAGCCACTTCCTGAAATGCCCCAAACCCTCGGCGCAGGAGATCAGCTCCCTGGCGGACAACTTGCAGCTGGAGAAAGAGGTGGTTAGAGTCTGGTTTTGCAATAGGAGGCAGAAGGAAAAACGGATGACGCCCCCAGGAGTGGCGCAGACGCCGGAGGATGTGTACTCTCAGGTCGGCAATGTGAGTGCAGAAACACCGCCTCCCTCCATGGACTGCAAAAGAATGTTCAGTGAAACGTAGAATATTTTATATCAAAATTGAGTTTAAAAAAACACAGACATGACTATCAGCCGAGATAGCACCAAATTTTTTTGATACTGTGATTGTGAGAATGAGACTGCAAATGTGTTATATTTTTCACCAGAAAAAAACAACAGAAATAAGAGAAAAAACAAGCTTTTACCCTCTTTTTCCTCCCAACCTAACCCCCTCTTTTCACCTGCAGAACAAAAACAAAAACAAACGCACCTTTTTCCAGGCCCTAAATGTCTTAACCTAAAAGGTTCCTTCTGCTTTTTTCTTTCAGGGGCATTTTTTAGTAGATTACTTAAAAGATGAAGCGAGCGACCAGAGGGTGACAACCACAAGTTCATTCCACCAGGTAATTCTGGCTCATTGAGACTCCAGGAAGTTTGCTTTCAATTTGGGTTTTCTCTTAAAAAAACAACCTTTTATGACCCTGTTTTGGTTTTTGAAACAAAAGCCTTTTTTGTACATTTAGGACTGAATGAACTGCAGCCCCTGTTTTTGTTTTATTTTTTTAATTCTCCAACAAGAAGAGGCTTCCATCTTTTTCTCTCACCCATGTGGAGGATTATTATTTTTTGAGGCCCTCAGAAATGAAGAAAGCATACATAAATAAAAAAAAGACTGATCTGAAAGATCTTTCACGTGGCTTATTTTTCCACCATGATTATAATTATTATTCTGCTCATTATTTAAAGGACAGTGGATTTATTTTTTTTCTTCAGTTTTTTCTTCTCCCTTGAATACTTTTTTTGTTTTCCAACAAAACGGACATTTAAAGACTTCAGCTGCACTTATTTGAAGAAAAATAATTTGTTGCCAAGTGTGACTGATTATTGCTGCCCTTTGTTAGCAGTGTTCTTTGGTAATAAATTAAAAAAACTCTGTAAAGTCGGCAATATAGAGATCAGATTCTGATCTGAGTTTATATTTTTCATCCTAAATGACTTGTTTTAATATTTTATTTGGATGGATTATTCCACTTGGTAATTTATTTCCCCCCTAATCCTTTGTGTAGGAATCTTCCCCCATTTCCCCCCCATTCTCTTCATTTCCGGTTTTTATTATTATTATTATTATTATTATTATTATTATTATTAATATAACTATTATTATTATCATCATTAGTAGTATTCTTGAAGGAGCACAATTCACCACAGCTGACCGTTGTTCTTATAAGGGTATATTTTGATGTGATCATTTATAAAAAAACATTTCTTTTTTTGGATTGTAATTTAATTTTACAGTAGTGGTTCCGTACGAGCTGATTGAGACAATAAATTTGTTAGAATGAAACGCAAAAATTCCCGTGCAGTTTATTCCTATGGTGTTCTGGAAGAGTGTGTGTGCTGATAATGCATGCAAAGATGAGAAAATACGCACCCATTAAAAAAAAGTAAAAAACTAAAAATAAATCGTACATTTTTTGCGCAAAAATACGAATAAATAAACAAATGTATTTGTTTACATTTTGAATTCAAGTCTTAATGCAAAGGCAACTTTATAACAATAAAACCTGAGTTATTAGGAGGGTAGAGGTTGGAATAATTGCGCGAAATGGCTCAATGTGCGCTATTTTTGCGCCCCAGCTGAGCAGGTGTGTGTGTGTGTGTGTGTGTGTGTGTGTGTGTGTGTGTGTGTGTGTGTGTGTGTGTGTGTGTGTGTGTGTGTGTGTGTGTGTGTGTGTGTGTGTGTGTGTGTGTGTGTGTGTGTGTGTGTGTGTGTGCTGACATGTTGGTTTAGAATCCGGGCCACTGGGTCAGAGCGCTTATTGATTCTGTCTGAGCTTCTGATCCAAACTTCCTGCAAGAATCCCAACACTTTTTTTTTATTTTCTCCTCTGTCTTTTTCTGGAGCTGTCTTTGCGCGCCTATTCAGCGAAACTCCCCAAACGTGTCCTCTCGCTGCAGGATTTGAATTTCGCGGATGATTTCCCTTAGTAGTTGCTTAGCAACGGAGTTCAATGATATAGAGAAAGTGTGCCTCATTTTTCTTTGTCTTCATCAAGGGAAAAGTAGGGTGGCCCTTCAAAAGTTTTGGAATCTTTCATTTAAAATATTGTAGTTTTTATTGTGAGAAAAATGTAAATAAATATGTGATCATCTAAAACCAGGAGGACTTTAAATATATAGGGCCTCGAACCTGCGCGTAAAAATGCACGAGGTGAAGAAATAAAGCGATTTTCCTGCAACTCCCGTGGGTTTCAAAAACATGCATGTGTGTGTCTCTGTGCAGACGTTTCCTAATATTTGTGGAAGATTAAAAAAATAAATGAAAACACACACAAATAAAAGAAGAGTTTTAAATCTCATAATGGGGTTTGATCCGCCTATTCTCCGACAGCTTTTGGCTTCTGCATGGAGGCTTCGTGTTGGCAGCAGCTGTGTGTGTGTGTGTGTGTGTGTGTGTGTGTGTGTGTGTGTGTGTGTGTGTGTGTGTGTGTGTGTGTGTGTGTCCCTTTCCTTTCTGCCTCAGTGACGCGCTGCTTCTTAAACACCAAACATCCACCTTTTATTGATTTCACGTCACGTGACGTTTTTATTGTAAGAAAACATTTCCAGCCATTTCTATTTCTGGTTTCTGCTTGAAAAAAAATTCTAGAGAAGACCCTTTTAAACAAGCCTCTTAAACCTGTATTTTGGAGCTTTACTCGCGACTTTAACGGGTTTTTTCAACTTTACGCACGAAATTGGTGATTTAAAGAACATGTTGTCAATTTTTGATTAAAACACGCATTAGGGTGGTTATAGTGGATATTTCTATTTATAAGGGGCCTAATGGGGTATTTAGAGGAGATTTCTTTCTCCTCGCGGCGGATTGATACATTTTTAGGCGCAAGAGGTTCGGTGAAAGTGTGAGTATAAATCTATATTTGCCACACTGCTTCCTCCGTCATGTTTACTCCACGTGTCGAGCGCATGAATATGGATTATCCTGAGCTGCGCTCCGCCGGGAGCTTGTTTCCCTTCTGCGAGTCCTGGAGGATATCTGAGAGACGCGCAAAAAAGAAGAAATAATAATAATAATTAAAATAATAAAGAATCCGCTCTGACTGCTGATCTTTGATCCTAATCACTGCTGGTGTTTTACAGTGCGTGTGTTCTCCTTCAGGTCCGCTGGTTTATTCAGCGCGTTTTAGCAAAAATGAGCTGTTGATGCCGGGATTTAAGTAATTCTAAGACATTTTATTTACACGCGAGTGAATAGAATTGATGTAAATGTTAATTTTATTATGTAAAATGTACACATCAGTATGTATATATATATATATATATATATATATATATATATATATATATATATATATATATATATATATATATATATATATATATATAGATAGATAGATAGATAGATAGATAGATAGATAGATAGATAGATATAGATATAGATATAGATAGATAGATGATATGCAAATTTTAGGGAATTATGAAGTAAAACCAACAATTTGAAGTATGCCTATTTTGTTGAAATATTAGTTATATAAAGTTGATCTGAAGTTCGTATCTTTTAAAAAATGTGGGCTAAAATCGTCATTTTTCAAATCCAAAACAAAAGCAGCAAATCTTCATGACAGGCCTCTATGTAAATGAAGCTCATCAGTTCTCCTCTGTGGCAGCAGCATGAGGAAGAGGAGGATGAAGGTGCTACATAAATGACATTTATTTGTGTCTGCGCCTTCAGATAAATGTTTAAAAACATAAATGAAAGAATAAAAGTAAAAAAATAAAAGGGTGTACGCGCGTGTGACGTGACTCTCGAGGGTTTCCTCCATAAACTGTGAAGGTCGAGGTTTTGTGAGCGTGCAGGCGCGCGGATGGGTGACGGTGGGAGTGGATGTCTGGAAGTCTGAAGCTGGAAATGTTCTTCAGCATCTCATCTGCCTCTTTGGATGAAATTAAGAGGTTTTCGGGTGCTTTAGTTACCATTTTGAAGATATTTATTTAAAGGAAAGTCCAGTTAAATGATTATGTGTGAACGTGCAGGTCAGAATTCACGAGTAGAAAAAGTTCTTGTTTTATATATTTAAAAGCCTTAACTTCTCCCAAGTTCCCTGAGACGCGATTCGCTGTTTCTAACTTTTTTATAGTCGGACGTGCACGCAGCTGCGTCCCAAAAGCACATCAAGTTTTGTGTTATTTGGTCTTTATATATATATATATATATATATATATATATATATATATATATATATATATATATATATATATATATATATATATATATATATATATATATATATATATATATATATATATATATATATATATATAACAACGTACATGTTCCTTTGGGTGTTTCGGCTGTTTTTGGGTCAGTTCGTGTCAGAACGTTTCAGATTATTAGAAAATTTCCAGACAAACCTCTCGGATTAATTTAATTGTCGCGTGTTTGTTTAATAAACCCTCTCCTGGGTCAATAAATTAGACATTTAATATATCTCAATTTCTTTATGTTATCCGATGATTTGATGAACTGTTTCCTATAAAACTTCTAGTGTAAACAGAAATGTTCCTGATGCTTTTTAATCTCCAGCTCGTTTCCTGCGGCTTCCCTGGCCTTACAGCGCCACCTAGTGGCAGATGGAGCGACATCTGAACGCTTCAGTTTACATTAAATTGTAAAATAATGCAGAATTATTAAGTTTATCTCTAAAGTTGACTTTTAGATATGGTTTAAATCAGAATAATTAAAGTTACGTTTAAATCTGAATGTTAATTTGTTATTTTAAGGGGCTTAAATTACAAAATAAAAGCCTAAAAATCAATGAGAGGGGTTTAAAAGGTGTTTTTTTTAATGGTCTTGTAAAATGTACATTTTGATCGAATAAGATGGTTCTTGGCTGAAGTTTTAACTCATTCATAATCTTGAACTACACTGGAAAAAATATCAAATAAACAAATCTAGATATAGTTTGGATTAAAAGTTATTATTATTATTATTATTATTATTATTATTATTATTATTATTATTGTTATTATTATTAACGCAAATATAGATATTTATGTGCTTCCATGTTTTTGGTGGTGCACTTTAAAGTGTTAGGGATACATTTGCTTTACAACTATTTGAAAATATTTATATTTACAAATTTGAATCGTCTTTTTTAAATGTTATTTGTAAATAGTTCAACAAATGAATCATTTAATCTTGTTTAAAATTATTTCCAACCCCAAAATAAGTTTTATCATTCAGTTTTAATCAGATTTTTTTTCTAAATTAAAGTTGCAAAAAGGGTCCATGATGTTTTAGTTTTTGTTATTGACTATTTTAAAAAAGCTTTTATTGCTTTTTGTGAACTTTTCACTCATTTAAATGTATTTTTCTTTCCTTTAATGCTCCTGTTTCACCCTCACTGTATTTTCTTCACCCCATCACTGCTTCACTGGTTGTCATGGGAACCAGGAGGGCTTGTCAGCTCTTTTTCACACTGTCCTGACTGTAGTTTGTCACGAGAGGCGGCTCCTCTGTGCGTCTGGAGGAGAACTGCCACAGATGTCGGGCTCTGATTTGTTTGATTTTCAAAATGAAAACTCTGAAGCAGCCAGTAGAAACTCACCTCAATATAGGAAGCTGGAGCTGCCAACTCACTGACCTCTAAGAGAGTTTTCCTAAGAGGAGAAGAAAACTTTCTGCTCCTGAGCACAAACATGGACAGATCATGAGCTTTTAATTCGGGGAAAGTTGGGTTTTCACCACGAGAGTTCACTTGTGATCATCAGCGTCGTTAGATTCAGTTCTGCAGAAGGCAACGGATCGATGGGTGAGGATGGAGACGGAGGGGTCGCCTGGTTCCACCGGTGACATCTCCTTGGCCAGATGCCAGTCCGTCCCAGCAGGCCGTTCCTCTGGCAGCAGTTGCCAAGGTGACAGCATGTCAGCAAAGCAAAGGGTGGGATGGAGGGGAGAGGAGAGGCGAGGCGAGGCGGGAGCACGATGCATCACCAGCTCTGATGGGTTTGTCGATACTGTTTATATCCAAGTGGACACACACACATACACACACACACACACACACACATACAGAATCATCACTACTGTTGGTGCAATCTGCATTTTCATACACTGTATTGAGCTGAATTAATTTCCTGAATATGAAAAAAAAAACATTCTGAAAAATGAATCGATTCAAAGAATCTGATTCATCAGGATGAGAAACAACTTTTATCTTCTAAATTCCTGAGTCACAATCATTTTAAAAATAGGGGATTTGATCATGTAAGACCAACAAAATGAACATTACGTTTCTTCAAATGTAAAAAGGATTTTATGATTATGTGCAAAAACTTTGACGTAGGGTCTC